AGAAAAGCTAGAGTTTTCCTGTTGAACCACCATGAGAGATTTTTGTGTTGTTGCATTGGCGATATCTAGAGAATCTTATCTCGTCGAATATCAGCACAAGTATTAAAATTTCGAAGAGACGATGCCGACTTCACTTGAAGATAAGCTAACTTATTGTAGCCCTTGTACAAATATATATTGGTCTTTATAGCCTTTGTTTGTCTGATGTGACATTTGTACACGATGATGACATGTCTATCTATACTTTTTCCTCCAGCTTGATACAACAAAAATTTGGAGTTTACTTCTGAGGTTGCTTTTGTCTTTCCTTCTAAGTCAAAGTTGCCCCTTCTAAAATGCTTTTGTCCCACTTCTGAGGTATTAATACCCAACTTCTGGGTTGCATATTGGTGCCAAACATTTTTTAGGCTTACGACTTATGAGGTTTTTTGGCTTCTCAAACATGCGGAAATCTGCAATCAAAGTTAGTACGTGCACTTTATATAAAAAAAGAATCACGTAACTTTTAAGACTCGTGTCTTCTGAGATTTGTATTCTCTTAGGTGTGTATCTTTTGAGACTTGTGTCTTCTCAGGCTTATGCCTTCTAAGAGCTTGAAATGAATCGATGTCTTCTCAGACTAGTAGTCTTTTGAAGTTGTTGATGTACTTGTGCCTCCTAGACTTATAGCCTTTTGAAGTCTTTGATATACCTGTGTGTCCTGAGGCTTATAGTCTTTTGAGATCATTGATGTGTTTGTCTCTTTAGACTTGTAGCCTTCTGAGATCTTTGATGCACCTATGTCTGCTGAAACTTGTAGCCTTCTGAGGTCTTTGATGTACATGTGTCTTCTGAGGCTTGTAGTTTATTGAGAACTTTGAGTGAAGATCATGTCAACCACTTGTTCTTGTGAAGTCTCTTTAGTGAGGGCCCTATCCACTACTACCTTTCCGTCAAGACTTTCCTCTTGTGTTTGTCTTTCAGAGGCATTGTAATTTCCATCAAGTTTAGCCTCCTGGGCTTGACTTCCATAAGCGTCACATTTTCTCATTGAGTCTTGTCTCTTGGACTCGACTTCCAAGGGCATGGTAGCTTCCAATCGAGTCTTGTCTCTTGGGCTCGACTTCCAAGGGTACCGATGGAGACCTTGTTTGTTTCTTGCCCTCAATAGGACTTTCTACATAAAAATACCTTTCATGAGAGAAAAGAAAATTTCACTAAATGATAAGTTTTAAATTAACATGAAAAATTTTTGTTATGATAAAATTAAGAGTTTATATCTCAGTCTTTTACTCAAATAAGATAATTTAGCGTTGCACTTCTCATTCGATAACCCCAAAGATTTTCTTCTGATTCTCATCACCTCGTTTCTTAACTAGCGACCCAAGTGACATTGGCGTATCAGACGTTCAAATTTTTTCCTTCAATTAAAAATATTTTTCAGTTAGATGTCATTTCACTTGATGAAAATAACAATATTTAGATCGGTTTCCACCATCTGGATTTTTTAATGGTCTTGGCCACTTGACGATTTCATCCGTAATGGTCATCAGGATGTTGACACGTAATGTGTAGAGTGGCGTATATTCTTTTTCTGATCGAGACTCATGATTCTCTTGCGATTTAAACTTTTGCACTGTGAGATTTGATCGGTATCCCCAACATTATCCTTGTGCTTGCCCCTCAATCACTTGAATTGTTCCTTGTGTGCACTGATGACCTCATCTACATAAATTTGAGCTTCAACACGATGGACAAGATTGACGTTAGAGTGAATTGTCCCCCACATCAATGATGAGCAGAAAGCATCTGGCCGGAGCCCTCCAAGAAAGACATTTCTCACTAACTCTGGGGTTCACCTTGGAATCTAGCGGGCTTCAATGGAGAACCTATGAAAGTATTCCTTGAAGGATTTTCCCCTATTCTGACGAACTACCGATAAGTGAGATGAATCTTTGATGATTCATCTATTTGCTATGAATTGCTCTACAAATAGTCTGACAAGCTCATTGAAGGTGTTAATAGTGCTCTCCAGGAGGGAGTAGAACCATGTGCAAGCTTGACTCTTAAGAGTCGCAGGGAACACTTGGCAGAGAAGCACGTCAGAGGCATTGTGAATGTGCATAATAATTCGATAGCGGTCAACGTGTTTGTATGGGTAAGTTACCCCTTCATAGACATCAATATTTGAGAGTTTGAAGCTCACTTGGATGGGATGTCGGAGAACTGTGTCAGTCAAAGAAGAGAATTCTTGGAAGTTGCAAAGAGTGCGAAAGTAATCCCTTTTATCCATAGGGAACTCTTTCCGAAACAAATGTCGGAGCTCATTACAGATGATATCAGTAGAAGCAAAGGGCGGGGTGGTTGCCAAGTGAGTTGCATGTTAGTGGAACTTGAAATGTCAAGGAGATCAATATTTTGTCTTGGCAGGGGAATGGTTTCATCACTGGGAGAGAACCCGGTGAGTGAGGTAGTTCCTGTTGGGTGTTGAACTTGTGGTAGGTAAGCTCCATTCGAGTGCGTGAGTATCGACTATCGTAGGAGCTGGAGGATCTCGTGCTGGGAATCCTCCATTTTGCGTGCTCGGCCTTCCAGAGAAGGACTCAAGGAACCTTCACTACCAGGGTAACGACTTCCAAAGTGGGAGGATGTAGAGTTCTGACACCTTTGACGTCGGGATTGTCTTCTAGAATGATAAGTGTTGGTGCGGGATGCTCCGTTGTTGCGAGTGTTGCACCTGGTGGCCATAAAACAAGACTTGCAATTATTTGAGTGGTGGAATGACGCGAGCGCTAGGGCAAGCGCCCAATTACGGGCACTAAATTAGTGCCCAGATCGAGAGCAGGAAAGCACCTCAAAGCAAAGCATCGCAAACCACCGGGGCCAAAGCCCCGCGAAACATCATGATGCGGGAACTCGTAAACTCGCGAATGCGGGAGAGCGGGACAACAGGATCGCGATCCCACGTATGGAACGGGGATCGGTTCAGGATCCAGCGTATGGAATGGAGATCGGATTGTGAATCTTGACGATCCAGGGCTGCCTCATGCACCTTCCACACTTGTCCTCTTATATAAAAATTTTTCTTCTGGAATCTTCTTGACTTCTCACTCTCTTCCGTTGTGTAGAAGTTTCCTTTAGGAGTCTATAAACTGTTATTTTTGTGTATGAGGAGTCAAATTAGAGTTGTGTTTGAGTTTAATTATAGATCTCCTGTGTGGGGCCTCTTTCCGCTTGGTGGGACTGCCTTTGAGGAGGTGGTGGCGCTCTGATTATATCTTCACTTTTTACCCTTTCCAAACCATCTCTCCACTCCATTGTCGTCGAACTCTCTCACTGTCACCCCGACACTTAACTATTCCCCCTTCATGCAGACTCTTACCGTTGTCCCACCTACCCAACTCTTTTTAAGCTCCTCCCAGCCACACCCTATAGTTATCACTTGCCTTTCGTAGTTGTCGTCATCACTCCTAATCATTCATATCCCTTTAGTTGTATTCCAATAGCCAATGGGTTATATTTAGAAGCGTTGTTTGTGTCGTTTTATAGTTTGTGCTATTATTTTTCGTTTGAGCCATGTTGTAATCATACTTTTTGTGTTTCCATTGTTCTACCTACTAATTCTCGTATCATGGAAATGTTTTTTTTTTCCATAGACAGAGTCAAACTGACGTGTGCTAGAATAGTCGCAGTGGTGGAGTAATGAATTATCGGCTTAGCATTCTACGAAGATTCAGCACATACTCAGAAGAGAAAACAATCAGTAGAGACACCATAAATTTTTACGTGAAAAATCTAAAAAGAAAAAAAACAATCGAGTTTAACCCAGTTGTAAAAATCCACTAAAAATTGATAATTACAGAGACTTCTTGTCCCACGGGCGGGAAATGGTAAGTCTTTTGAACTACAATGTTGACGTGCGGATAACCTTTTTGCGGACAACGGGCGGTGGCCGACAACAATTGGCGGCGGTTAGCAGGTGGTCCACGGTAGCGGCGATGGTCGATGGAGGTCAGTGGTAGTCGATAACAGCAGGAGTGATGCTAGACTTCAACTCCTTCTCAAAGCTTCAAGCTCTCGTCTCTTTCGCAAGAAAGGAGTGGAGCTTTATTTATAGAGTTTCGAGTACAATTAATACAAGAAAATGAATCACTTTGATCGGACGGTCCCGAAAGTTTCCTATGATTGAATGGCGTTTGATGAACATTTAAGTGTCTTAACAATATCAAAATTGAGTGATCTTGAGCTTATTGGATTCGTATTGTCGAGGCGCTCGATTCGACTATAAACGTCGGATTCGGCATCTGTCTCACCTTCCTTTCAAGTGTGTCCAGAAATCGTGCAAAGGCGGTTTAATGGCTTGATTGGTGCTTGATTTGCTTCAATTTGACCCATTTTGGTATCATTGGGTCTGTCTCGTCAAGTCGGTCAACTTGATTGTAAGTTTGTTGAAATTGAAGTCATAGTTGACTTTTAATTGAAGTTTGAATGTTTCTTACTCCAAAAAATTGCATCGTGATTCGTACCATGCTTCGAGATTTGTGTCGGATGAAATAATTTGTTGATGACGTATCAAATTCAATAAAATCTTGTCACACTACCAAAGTCCATTTTGCATCAGCTTTTAATTTAACTTTAGCAATAGCGAAATTAAAATAAAAGAATTCAATACTTGATTTAAGAATTCTTAAAGTCAGAGCTTAGAAAGTAACCACAAAATACATGTGATCAACTCGATGATGATGACGATGGTGAAAATATATTAGGGCTTGGATTATACTTGTAATATCACAATTATGCCTAAAATGAAATAGAACTGCAAGTTTAAGACACTAAAGAAGTTAAGATGTCAATGGACTAGTTTGTATGGATTTCAGAGACATTATCAGACCATGAAAATATCATCCTTTGCAATAAAATGAAAGGTTTCAACATCACTTGGATCATGATATGTTGAAGGAATAGGTTATTTTCAAACCTACATACTCGAAAAAACTATAAAGAGAATGATAAAAACATACCTTACAGCCATCTCAGGTTCGCGCTTTTCAACAAAGAATTTGATTGTATCACCAGGATCTGAAATGTCTTTGATAAATAGACCATAGCCTGTAATTTAAAATTAAATGTTGTCAGAGCTTGGTTTCCATATAGTTGATTACAATAGCACTATCAAATATTTCATATATCATCCATTTTCCTTCCACCAAAACCAAAAAATTCATGAGCTTGGATAAAATCAAGGAAAAGTTTCCTTTTCCCTACTTTCTTTGGCAACTCCACATTAAAATATTGTGAAAAGCTACTTTTTAGCATTTTTTAAGAAAACGACCCTACAACCCATCCACCAACCCACCTCCAAGCTCCGTTGACTATATGGCATAGGAAAAAAAACAAATCAAATAATTCCCCCTTCGTTTGACAGGAATTAGGATAAAATATTTCCAGGCAATTAACATAACAATCTACCCTTTGTTCAAATAAGTTACCAAAGATACATGAAACAAAGGAACATGTACCTCCTTTGAAAATAAAGAAAGTTCAAAAGGGAAATCAAAGCTCCAAAGGAAAAAAAAATAATACAATTCTAAGATGCCTAAGGTAATAGCATCTGATATTAGTTTTTCATTTTTTTTCATTGGGTGCAATGAATATCTATGCTTTATTATATAAACAATTATTTTATATTTTAAGGGCAAGGCTACGTATAATATTAACTGAACACTCAAAAATTGAATATACCTTTTCTTACAAGAGAAGAATTTTACAGCCTGGGAAAACAACAACATCAAATTACCATTTATTGAATGAAGAAGGTTGGAAAGTAAAGTAAAACATGTTAGAAGTTGGGGGCAAAAGAGAAGATAATTTATTCACATTTTCTATATGTAGAAAATAAACTTTGGGAGGAAAAATTATTTGCTCCATTATTCACATGAAGGGTAAATATATAGGGAACAAATCTCTCCTAATTTACAAACTTACCAAAAGTTGTCAAATTTATATAGGGAATCAACTAATCAAGGAGTTTCCAAAGTTGTCTCCAATTAGATTCCCCAAGATCTATGAGGAAGTCGGCCGGCCCATCCTTCCACCAAAACCAAAAAATTCATGAGCTTGGATAAAATCAAGGAAAAGTTTCCTTTTCCCTACTTTCTTTGGCAACTCCACATTAAAATATTGTGAAAAGCTACTTTTTAGCATTTTTTAAGAAAACGACCCTACAACCCATCCACCAACCCACCTCCAAGCTCCGTTGACTATATGGCATAGGAAAAAAAACAAATCAAATAATTCCCCCTTCGTTTGACAGGAATTAGGATAAAATATTTCCAGGCAATTAACATAACAATCTACCCTTTGTTCAAACAAGTTACCAAAGATACATGAAACAAAGGAACATGTACCTCCTTTGAAAATAAAGAAAGTTCAAAAGGGAAATCAAAGCTCCAAAGGAAAAAAAAATAATACAATTCTAAGATGCCTAAGGTAATAGCATCTGATATTAGTTTTTCATTTTTTTTCATTGGGTGCAATGAATATCTATGCTTTATTATATAAACAATTATTTTATATTTTAAGGGCAAGGCTACGTATAATATTAACTGAACACTCAAAAATTGAATATACCTTTTCTTACAAGAGAAGAATTTTACAGCCTGGGAAAACAACAACATCAAATTACCATTTATTGAATGAAGAAGGTTGGAAAGTAAAGTAAAACATGTTAGAAGTTGGGGGCAAAAGAGAAGATAATTTATTCACATTTTCTATATGTAGAAAATAAACTTTGGGAGGAAAAATTATTTGCTCCATTATTCACATGAAGGGTAAATATATAGGGAACAAATCTCTCCTAATTTACAAACTTACCAAAAAATATCTGATCTAAATTTGAAAAGAAAATAATTTTTAAATAAAAATAAAAATATATAAATAGGAAGAGAATCAACTAATCAAGGAGTTTCCAAAGTTGTCTCCAATTAGATTCCCCAAGATCTATGAGGAAGTCGGCCGGCCCATCCTTCCACCAAAACCAAAAAATTCATGAGCTTGGATAAAATCAAGGAAAAGTTTCCTTTTCATTCAACTCGGCGAAGCTACCTGCAGGTAGAGCTTTGGTGAAGAGATCAGTGACTTGAAGATGAGTTGGAATGTCGACCAAGTAAATAATGTCACCATTGACCTTTTCAAAGATAAAATATTTATCAATCTAAATGTGTTTGAAGTAGTCATGATACACGAGATCTTTTGTAATACTAATGACAATTTGGTTGTCATAGAACATCTTTATAGGATTGACCGTAGAGTGTTTTAATTCCTTTAGTAATATTTGGATCCGCACTCCTTCACAAATTCTCAAAGCAAGTGTCAGAAACTCAAATTCAGCACTACTTCTACCACTACTTGTTTCTTGCTCCTCCATATGTCAAAATTTCCCCAAATATAAAAACAATATCTAGAAGTGGACCTTATGTCTGTGAATTACCCTACCTAACTAGCATCAATTTATACCACTACATCCCTATTGTTTGATTTTCTAAACAATAACCCTCTGTCAAGGGTCTTCTTAAAAATCTCTCCAAATGTTTTTCATTCAAACTATTCATATGTTGGCTCACAGTGCCGACAGAGTAAGTAATATTAAGTTCAATATGTGATAGGTAGATAACCTTACCTGTCAGTCTCTGGTAATCTACCATTTTTTTCCTTGAATGTAACTTCTTGTAAAAATCCATGTGAGTCTCAACAGAATAAACTGATCACGGCTGATCAGAACAGCACCTTAAATTCGGTTTAAGTATAACAATGATATGTGGCCATCCTAAATTTACCGCAGGCACAACGTTCAAATTTAACAAAAGTTCAACCATGTATCTGAATCGATTCTTGCTGATTAAAATACAGTGTCCATAAAATTTACTGAAATGATACTCGAGACCGAAGGACCTCTAATTTTACTTCGGCAATCAAATAAACCATATAAAAATAAAATTCATCTGTTCAACCTTACCTGCAAGAATTTCCATCAACCGCACGTACTCCTCCAAGCATCCCCGCTGCATGATCCTTCCACATTCAGCCTTGATAGCCTTGATGGCCGAGCCATCAAGCAGATCCAATGGTCTTATCCCCAGCTTATCCGCCCTGCATAACAAATCGACAGCATCGTCGAGCCTTCCGTCGCCAATGACAGCAACGATTCCCCGGGAGACCATATTGGCTTCAATGCGAGCGATGAAACGAGAGCTCTCGGCGGCGGTAATGGCGTCGGAAGCCAAGATGCTTTCGGCAATCGTGAGGAATTCATGAAACAGGCCGCTGAGGGCGAGCTTGGAGGCGAGGCGTGCGTAGTTCTTCAGGAGGCGGGAAGTAGTGGGAGTGGAAGAAGGGCCTGGGTGGTTTACGCTTAGAAGGACTGGGGAGGGGTGGAGGGTGTGGAGTGGCCTGCAGTCAGCGCGGTGGCTCCAAGGTGGAGGGAGAGGTTTCTGCCGTTGCAGAGCGAGGGAAGGAGGAGGAAGGAGAGAGGAGGCGGTGAGAACGCCAACCTCAGCCATGGGAATTGGGGGAATCGAGGAGAAGAAAGGAGATGGAGATAGTGGTGAGTGAGTTGAGATATTTCCACGTTTGTATGTTTTTATCCATAGCTGTTAGGAAGCAGAGTTTAAACAGCATTTAGCCATTAATTTAATTAAAATTTAGCCAAACTAAATAAAAAATGAAAATCAAATTCAATTCTCGGCTATTACACGAGCCCTGATCAAATATTAAGAAATTGATAAAAATGAAAAAAATTAGTTGGGATTTTACCATGAATTTTGATATTTGAGTGAGAATTTTAAAAAAAAAATTTGGATAAAAAGGATGGTTGATATGTACATAGCATGTTTCGAACGGTCTCTATGTAATTGCCTTGTAAATTTTTAGCATGTAAGTGATTATCAATTTTATTTATGTACACTTCAAAAGTGCTGGCACGAATCTCAAAACAGTCAAACGACCAGTGATGATGGCTTGACAATCGAGACGATAGGTCGATTGAGCACGATCTGAACCAGTCGTTTGATGACTGGTAGTTCTATTGGATTGGCATACCCACGATGTTGAAAGATTCAATCGAGGGACTGTACTCACGGTCCCAGCTACCCAAGCTTATTTTAGGGGCACTCAAACACAACTAGTTGATCGACCGGCTTTGCCTTGGGAGGAGCGATCACCATGCAACCGGTCGCCTTGGACAACCGAACTAAATGCATTAATTCTCTAATGACTGTTGTATTAAAATTAAATGGTAACACGAAACTTGTATTAAATTAGCGCATTGATTGTATTAAGGACTGTTTCCATGGTCGCGCTGTCGTTTTGGTGATGCATGGCGATTTGCATAATCGCCCCCTCATTTCTGTATTTGAACAAAAATGTCTCATATTTATAGAAGGTCCAACGATAAATAAAGAAACTTTTACCCCCAACTCTTCTCTCAAAGAACTATTTGGAGGCTCCTATCTCTCTCCTTCTCCCAACTCTAACTCTTGAGGCATGTTTTATATGAAGAACAATTTAGAATTCAATATCCTAAAAAGGTGTTGCGGTGAGTGTTAACATGCCCCAAATGAGAGACGGAGCCAACAATATCCATGGAATTCAATAGAGAAATGATGGTGCAATACGTCCAAGAAGAGGTCTGTTGACCTCATTTTTTGTGAGGTCTTTCTTTCCTCTTAGTGCTTAGGATATAGTCATAGGACATTCCCTTTGACTATCATAGAAGACTAGAGATGGAGCCCACCTATATAGAAATTCAAACCACCTCCTAACTCTCTTTGAACTCTACGTGGTTGGTCATAAACCTCCAGCACTTGGAAGGTTAGGACCAACTTGTGAGGATTCGATGATGAGTTCTCATAGGGTTTAGAAGCCTTAGGAACACTCATTACGATTTTCGTGCATTCGCGCACGAATATCACGATTCGGACGGTTGACACATTAAGTATTGCAATTAACGTCACCTATGTCTTTATATGTTGCATAATAAATCAAAATTTAAATAAAATTTTGAAATAGGCGATCACGAACAAAAATTTTGACGAAAATTAAATTTGACGCATTTTTTACCCGATTGTCGACGAGGTAGTCCAGGTGACCCCACACGACCTCAAATGACAAAATGGACTATGCAATCGCGTCCAGAACGTCGAGTTTACTTAGGGACATTTATTTCACTACAATGTCATGTTTAGACGAAAAAATATGTAAATGATGATTATAATAATATAATATTGCTATTATTATTTATTATCTTACGCATGCAGTTATTCAAATAAAAATTATTATCCTATTAAGCTCATCGCACGCCTTGCCCCATCTCTTCCTCTCTCTCTCTAAGATAACATCGCATGTGCATATTCATATATATATATATATATATATAGCTTGTAGCCTTCTCTCTTATCTTATCATGCTTCATGTATCAGCACGTGGCCTAGATCTTATTCTCTCTCTCACCCTTTCCTCTCCCTCACACACGCCTCCCTCTCCCTCTATTTCTCTCTCCCACACCTCTTTCTCTCTCTCGGCTGTAGGCAGCCAACATAATATATGTATATATATATATATATATATATGGAAACTCTCTTTCCTTCTCCTATAAGAGTAGCCCGAGTCTTCCTCTCCTAAACCAACGAGAAGAAAACAACAATTCATTCTTCCACCATCTTCTTCACCAAAATAGTCCTCTTCCTTCTCTTTCTTGTTCTTCTCCAGCGAATCTCCCTTCATCCGACTACCTTTCCTCCGGCAAAACTTTGATCGGGTACTCCCCTCCCCTCCCTCTTCTTCGCCGACCACATGAAAAAAAAAAAAAAAACCATTTACCTTCTTTGTTTTTGTGCATGAGAGAGAGAGATTTACATAAATACATCTCAACTCATTTTATTTACATCAAAACAAAAACAAAAAAGAGAAATAAAGTTTACATGCATATACCACCTAAGGCCCCGTTTGGGGCAGCTTATAAGTGCGGGCGGCGTTTTCAAAACGCCGCCCTACCGTTTGGTTAGCACTTATTGGAAAATTATTTAAAAACGCGTTTTTGAATTCCTTAAACACGCGGACCGCAGGCTGACCCCCGCGGTTCGCGGTTCGCGATAAAATTTTACGGGATATGCCCCTTTTTTCGCCCGTGACTTCCTTTTTTTTGCCACCCGTGACTTGCTTTTTTTCATTTGTCTTTCTCCTTCTCCTTCGACTCTCCCGCGACCTCTCCCGTGACCTACAGCGTCGAAGGAAGCCGAATCTTCTTCTCATCCCGCTGAAGTCGAAGGTAACCGGATCTTCTCCCACAGGATCTTCTCCGTTCGAAGGCAGATCTCCTCGCTCCCGTATTCGACAGATCTTTGTTCGAAGGCAGATCCGCAAGACCTATCCCGACTTCTCCGTTCGAAGTCGGATCTTCTTCTCTCTATCTCGTTGAAGCCGGATCTTTCGGATCTTCTCCGTTCGAAGCCACATATTCTCCGTTCGAAGACGTTGCTTCCTCGCTCCCGTCACCCTTCTGTATCACGGCTTCTCCTTTCAAAGCCGGATCTCCTCTGTTTGAACTTGTTGCTGGACGCAAAAGGGAAAGGTCTTGCGGATCCCGACCTCGCTTCGATTGCACACCGTTGTTCTTCGAAGGTAAATATTCGATCCTGATTGTATTTATAAATTGTATTTCGAATCTGTGACCATCCATAAAAAAATTGTATTTCTAATCTCTTGTTTCCATTTGAATATACAGAAGTTTGTTTTTAAGGCATGCCATAATATTCTGTAGTTTGAACTAAAGTTTTATTTATTTTAACAATCAGCAGAAATAATTGTTCAGTAGTTTGAACTAAAGTTTTATGCCTCATAAATATGATATGGTTTAAAATATTATTCAAATATTTATCATTTTGTGTTTTGATTGCTTACACTTGTAGCTGAAAATATTGTTGTTCTTCTCTTTAGGTAAATCACTTATGTTTAGTGATATAGAAAGTGAAGAATGAGTGTTAAAATATTATAGCTGAAAATATTGTTTTGTGATTTCTTAGAGGGCTGATATAAAAAGTGTTCTTTTGTTTAGTGATTTTTTTGCCATGAAAATAAACATTTTGTGCTTATCCATTAATCTGACAGAATTCTATGAGTAAAGCTGAAGAGGCTGGTACATCAGCCATGTGGGATAGAGAAGCTGCTATGATCTTTTGTGATTTATATGTGAGGGAGGTTGAGGTGGGAAATAGATCCACTACATTTTTTAACAAAGAAGGCTGACGAAATATCTTGGTTAAATTCAAAAAATGACTGGAAGAGATTACGATCGCATGAAAATGAAAAATAAATGGGACTAGTTAAAGAAGAATTGGAAATTATGGAAAGAACTCAAAAGGGGATCCACGGGAATGGGCTGGGATCCAGTTAAGCGCACAATAGATGCACCAGAACAATGGTGGGCTAAAAAACTACAAGTGCATAATTAACGCTTTTTTATTTTATGTTCAATCTAATTTCGCATTGAATTGTGACTATTTTATTAATGCACATTTGTTATCTTTATCAGGCAGTCCCGTCAGCAAAAAAATTTAAATTCGTTGGCATTGATCCAGTAATGGAGGAAAAACTTGATGAAATGTTCACTATTGTTGTCGCTACAGGAAGTCAGGCGTACACCCCAAATGATATAGGGTTTGGCAGCTCAGCCCAAGAGATGGATACCGTGGAGATAGGTGATTCAGAAGACAGTCCTAGCCATGTTCACACAGATGTTCAATCCACGAGTGTGCCCAAGCGTCCCGGGGTAGAAAGAAGAACAAAGGGGTTGCTTTCATTAAAGGCACTATTGATGCACTTGTTGAAATATGTAAAGCTCGGTCTTCTTCTTCGCAGGATAGCTCAATTGATGAGTGTCTTCAGGTCCTTAATACATATTCTGATGTTAAGGCAGAAGATGATGACTACATTCAATATGTGAAGGTGTTACGAGATCCAACCATCAGACAGTTTTTTATGAAGTTGGAACCGAAATACCGAGTGAAATACTTGCGATCTTTTATGGACATCTGAATATTTGAGTTATTGATGGACTTTAATTTTTGTTGTTCTATGTTATGTTTATGTTATGCAGACTTTTTTAATCTCCTTCGTGGATGTTTTGGACAGTTCACCTTTTTGCCCAAAGTTCATGTGTTCTATTTATTTTTCATAGCATACTTTTGTTTTTATTACTAAAGTTAATTCATTTTCCTTTTAATTATTTTGTAGTATGGATGAAGAAGATATCCACCACATACGCACAGTCGCATTTACCCTTACCTTATTGTATTACTACTATCTCAAACACGTTGACCGAAACCCATGTATGACTTCAACTCAAGTAGGAGACAGATGGGTTGGTGAGTTATTACGGGGTCATCCAACACGGTTCTTTAATATGTTCCGTATGACACAAGAAATATTTCATGATCTTCTAAATGAACTCCGGATCAATCATGGGTTTCACGACTCTGCAAGAACAACCCCAAGGGAAGTGCTTGCAATAACTCTATACATCTTATCTCAAAATGAATCAATAAGAGGGGCTATGGAGCGTTTCCAACA